CTCCAGTATTTAGTTAGTGGAACGTGCTGTCTCCCGTGACTGCTAGTGTTGTAAATGCTTCTGTCTGGGAAAAATCCCAAACGAATTCTGCATCTTTCTTAAGTAGGGAATCCATTGGACTTGTGACGTCTGCTAAATTTGCTAAATTTGGAGAAAATCTTTAGAGATAATTTACCATATCAAGAACATTTTCAAGTTGCTGTCATTGTCTGGTATTTTGAGATTCATTATTGCCTGTATTGCCCGGCTTTAACCCTATTGATGTTATTTAGTGACTAAAGAATTGGACTTGTGTAACTCCCAATATATACTTGTGTGGGTTGAACTTTATCTCCTCGGAAATTTGCTTGTTCAAGGGCGTATCTGCCGAACACTGTACTAAAGGTTGTTAAGAATGAAGATTGTTTAATAATGAAGATTGTTTATCAAGTTTAATGCTCCAGCATGCGTGTGTTATGTCAAGTATGCTAAAATATTGTGCATCAGTCAGTCTTGATGTCAAGTCATCAGAAGTGCGCATTGGATAATGAGGTCACATTATAGCCTCATTTACAACACTTGGATCAAGACAAATCCTGAGTTTACCTCTCTTTGTTTTTTTTTCTTCATGACTAGGCAGTTTACCCAGTCTGTAGGTTCAGTTACCTTCATTATTATGCCATCTTTCTCCGTGTGCTGATGTTCTTCGTGTAACCTGTCCGTTAAAGCTTCAGACACTCGCCTAGGTGTGTTTATTGCTGGAACAGTAACTCTTGTAATGTGAAGTTTACATTCATCTGTCATGATCCCTACACCTTGGAATAAGTTTCCAATAATAATAAAAATAATGAAAATTTTACCATATCTACGTAAATATTCTGATTTTCCGAATTGACACTATCACTAGAGATGTATCCAAAATACTACGCATTGTCAACGTTTCTCTTTTTTATATCTGCAAAATGATTTTGCTATCCGCATGAGTAACAGGTTGCATGTTCAGCTTGACTTTTTGACCCTGGTCTGTGAGTATTTTATCATCAGCGTTGACATTTAAGTGGTTTACTTCCATTTTGTTTTTGAGCGTAATGATTATTTCTTTGCCCTTTTTTGTGGAATAAAAGAATTGCAGATGTTTTTGACTTGGCGCAAGTGGGTTTGTATGCTGGTTGAATATCATTGAGCAGTTTGTCTTTTCTTGCTTTTTTGGTCAAAGAAATAGTATACACCATAATCTTGAAACTGTCCCCGACCAAGTCTTTTACCCGATCCCAGTCATAGTTTCCAGCTTCTTGGATTATGTCCAGTGCTCTGATCATTTGAACCAGACAGGCTGACATATCGCTCACTGCTCTTTGCATTTTGGCATCTACTGCGTTGGTCAAAGTTATGACGTACCTCCATATGAAAGGCTCTATCCCAGGTGTCTGCAGTTGTTCCGTGTTGACTGGTCTTTTAGGTCTTTCAATCTCTTTTTATCAGATTCTGCTCGCATAGTTTTGTTTATCATTTTACTTAATCTTTCTGAAACTGGGACACCCGTTACTTCTTTTTCTTCAAATAAGTCTTCCAATTCTTGAAGGAATTCAGAATCTCTTGCTGTTTTTGTGATGACAAAAATGTCTAAATTTTCATTATCAGTATCATCCTCATCCGAACTGTTGTAGGTGTAGAATAACTTACTTCTCTTGTGTGCTCTTTTGAAGCTTGTCTCTTCTACTGACCCTTTATATTTAGGGTATGTTTGCATTGAGTCAGTTTCTTCGTCGTTTTCAATGGATATATTGATTTCTGGATGGCAATAACTTGAGCCCTGTTCTGCTTCATTTTGCAACTTTAAAGTCTCTATGTCGGACTTTAATTGTTCTAACGTATTTACAACTGGGTTTATTTTCTTGCTCTGGGCAGATAATTCTGTAATTGTTTTTTGAAAGTTTTGCATGATTTGCTCCCCTTTTTCAACAGAGTCTTCCACTTTTGCATTTTCCTGCATTGGGTCCCTTTCTTTTCCTCTGCAATTCACATCATTGCCGCCCAAGAGTGATTTTCTGAGCTGTCTGTACACATTTTGTCTGTATGGCAATCTAACATAATCATATTTCAATCAAAACTTTATGACCTTTATCAGGTCCGTCAACAGACTGATTGAGATAAATATATTATCAAAATATTTTACAAAGATCGATGAAAATACCGAAAGTTGACTACAACGATTATGTAATATTTCGTCAATTTGTGAACATATCGTTTTACGCAAAATTGTTTGATATCGTAAATCAGTCTTATTTGTACTATCGAACTCGAGTACGAATGTAATAAAATGATTTTGCTCACATAGTCGAGCATTCAAGAGTACATGAATGAAGAAAAGTCACAGAAATTAGTTTCTGTTTCATGTGGGATACATGTGCGTTATGCAAATTTTCTGATATCTGCAACTCGATGGAATTCATCGGTGCAATGTTTTGTTTGTTTCGTACAAAAAAAACTTTCCTTCTGTCGTACGGCACTGTAGCACTAAGGCCGTGCGTATTAGTACCGTTAAGGAAAGCGCAAACATACTTTGCATCCTTTGTCTATATGATATAAATAATGGGGCTTGAAAATAGGTCAAACATTTCGAGACTATCAATTTCGGTGAAGAATTTTCTTGCATTTAATATAATTTTCCTGAAAAACGAAGTAAAAAATCTTCAAACAAAATTTTCTTAAAGGGTTTATCTTAATATATATCGTCATATTATTTAAATATACACTAAATCTTTTTAACATTTTATGTCTGAGTCATCAATATGACACCACAGTGTTGGTGATAAATCTGCACTGACCAGTGCTACTGATAAGCCAGCTTCCTCTCTCTGTGTGGGGCCCAAAAGAGATATGCGGTTGATAAAATAGCATTTTAAGCGATAATCCCTCGCCGTGGTTGTTCAGTTTTTCACGCACTTTTCAAGAATTAGTTCCAAAAACAACTTTGCTTCTATGTCTTCAAAGCCACACTCTTCCGCGCTTAATCGTTATCTTGTGATGAGTGCATCAGTACTGTCATTTTCTTGCATTGCACTGTTAGATTTATACCTTGCGAATATTGGGTTCAATGACGGCTAACCGTGTGCTTTGAATTTATCATAGTAGCTTTGTAGATCTTCAGGATCGTCACCAGTGATGGGTTTCCATGTCGCGTGTATGTCTCTACCCTTGTCACCGAACCAGATCAACAAATAAGATATCTTTTCTTCCTAAGTTTTGTTATGCAGCGGCCCTGTGAACATCAGTTCAACATGCTTTTGGAGTTCAGGAAGATTTGACGCTTCCCAGTTCTAACGATTAATTCTGAATTTCTTACATCATGTAATACTCTTTTTTATACTTATTAAACTATTAAAGGTGGTCCATGCAATTCACAAATGTAGATATAATAAGATAAAAGAAATGTGTGTCCCAGTCAGTTTTATTATCTGAACTGATTCATTTGCGGGAAACTTCCTAGAATACAACATTATCTTCGAGAATATAACATTCTACAGGTACAATGGAAATATACAGAAATGTGTGTTTATGGTACAGGTCATATGAATATATTATCAGTATGACCAGTTATGTGTCAGTGGTGCCATTAAACCCAAACAAACAAAATATCCTCAGTTATTGACTGATAGCTGAGATATTTGATTTGCTGGTACCCCTAGTCCAGATGAAGTTCCAGGTTGATGTCTGAGACGTCAAATATAGATCCTCCTACTTCTTCAGGTCTTCCTCCAACAATAAAGCTGGTAGGTCGCGATATGACCTTTTAAAACGCTGGTGCGACATGAAACCCAACCAACCTACTTTCCCTCATAACGTTCAGCTTTGCCTGTAATACATTAGGAAATTGTTACTGACATTCTCTATTAAGATTATTTTATTGATGAGTTATGAAGAATTAATACTTTTCTTATCCGTAAGATTCTTCGCTATCTTACATAGGTTGATGTCTGTGATGAGGTCCCTTCAGCGATGTTGATAAAACTTCGACGTTTGGTGTATAATTTATAGGTATTTTTTTTAACCTCTTACATTCATAAATTGGGCCCTCCATCAACAAATCTGACTTACAAATAGCGAATTTATAGTTTGCTGATTTTTTTAGATGTTTGTTACATAGTCTTTTAAGCCTAGTGTGGGGTAAAGGTTACTGGGAGCAGAAATATGTTTATTCCTTTCATCAGAGAGACAACATTTACTCACATTTACATTTAATTTAAACTTAAGGCCGATTGAATCAAGATATCTGTCACCAATGCAAAAATGTTCTCATTATGTAACTATGATCGCATTTATTTATGATGAAAAAGAAGCTTTCATATTTGTAACCACCCATAAATAACTATGTTGGACCTTTTGTCATTAAAGTATTACAATTTGATAATCTGAGAAGTAATGCATCTTATTATGTTATATAAAATGTGAGTTACTTGTTGTAGGCAATACAATATATAATTCATATTAATCATAGCAATAATAAAGATGGGCATTAATTATAATTTCTATAACTACTATCTTGCCAAGATATTTAGTAAATGTGCCAAATATTTGATATGTTTTGTAAATATTTGATTTTTTATGTTGTTATTGTTATTTACATTTTTGTTAATTATATTTACTTTTTGCGTTTTAACCTGAATCAAAAGCTTTGCGTCTCAACATAATAGGTGCGTAAAGCAATATATAAGCAGACATTATTGATTTTTTATAATCATTTTGTTTTAAGCGTATATTTTGTATTGCATTATTGGTTCATTATGTACTTTAAGTGAAAATATTTGGTCCAAGTACTTCTCTACTATTTTGAATATATGCATGCAATTTGTGTAGTTTTATTTTTGATATATTTTACAAACAAATGTTAATTCATGATGGATTTTAATAGGAGAAGCACACATTTATTGTTGTATTTAGAATTTTTATGTAGCTAAGTAAAAGTTTGTGTGTTCCTTGTCGATAACTGTACTCTTTTTACTATTGAAAAATAACACCTTTTATTAGCTCACCAGAGCCGAAGGCTCAGGGTGAGCTATTAGTATCAAAGGGGGATGCTCCGTCGTCCGTCGTCATGCGTCAACAATCGTCTTCTTCTCTGAAACTACTGGGCAGATTTACTTCAAATTTGGTCTGTAGCATCCTTGTGACAGTCACACTTGAATTTGCTCATGTCATTACAATTAGCCCCTTTTAGGGGTCAGCAGAGCTAAAAATAGAAAAACCTTTCACCAAACTATGTCTGTAGCATTCTTGGGTAGTCTTTTATCAAGTTTGCTCATATTATTTTGATTGGCCCCTTTTAGGGGTCACTAGGGCTAAAAATAGAAAAACCTTTAAACATCTTCTTCTACAGAACTAATGGATGGATGATCACCAAACTTTGTCTGTAGCATTCTTGGGTAGTCTTTTATCAAGTTTGCTCATAAGAATTTGATTGGCCCCTTTTAGGGGCTGCTTAAGCTAAAAATAGAAATACCTTTAAATGTATATTTCTACAGAACTAATTGATGGATGATCACCAAACTTTGTCTGTAGCATTCTCAGGTAGTGTTTTATCAAGTTTACTCATGTTTATTTGATTGGCCCCTTTTAGGGGCCGCTAAAGCAAAAAATAGAAATACCGTTAAATGTCTATTTCTAGAGAACTAATCGATGGATAATCACCAAAGTTTGTCTGTAGCATGCTTCGGTAGTCTTTTATCAAGTTTGCTAATATTATTTTGATTGGCCCCTTTTAGGGGCCGCTAATGCTAAAAATAGAAATACCGTTAAATGTCTATTTCTACAGAACTAATTGATGGATGATCACCAAAGTTTGTCTGTAGCATGCTTGGGTAGTCTTTTATCAAGTTTGCTTATATTATTTTGATTGGCCCCTTTTAGGGGCCGCAAAAGCTAAAAATAGAAATACCTTTAAATGTCTTTTTCTACAGAACTAATTGATGGATGATCATCAAACTTTGTCTGTAGCATTGTTGGGTAGTCTTTTATCAAGTTTGCTGATATGAATTTGATTGGCCCCTTTAAGGGGCCCAATAAGCTAAAAAAAAGAAAAACTTCTAAATGTCTAATTCTACTGAACTAATTGATGGATGATCACCAAACTTTGTCTGTAGCATTCTCGGGTAGTGTTTTATCAAGTTTGCTCATATTTATTTGATTGGCCCTTTTTAGGGGCCGCTAAAGCTAAAAATAGAAATACCGTTAAATGTCTATTTCTACATAACTAATTGATGGATGATCACCAAACTTTGTCAGTAGCATGCTTGGGTAGTCTTTTATCAAGTTTAGGGGCTGCAAAAGCTAAAAATAGAAATACCTTTAAATGTCTATTTCTACAGCACTAATTGATGGATGATTACCAAACTTTGTCTGTAGCATTGTTGGGTAGTCTTTTATCAACTTTGCTCACATTAATTTGATTGGCCCCTTTTAGGGGCCTCTATAGCTAAAAATAGAAAAAAAACCTTTAGATATCTTCTTCTACAGAACTAACTGATGGATGATCACCAAACTTTGTCTGAAAGGGGCCACTAAAGCTAAAAATAGAAAAAATATTCAAACATCATTTCCTACTGAAATAATTGATAGTTGATCACCAAACTTTGTAGCATTCTTAGGTAGTTTTTTTATCAAGTTTGCTCATATTAATTTGATTAGCCCCATTTAAGCTAGAGCTTAAATGCCCCAGGTCATGGCATTTCTTCAAATTATTGTTTAAACATATTCTATGGTTAAATTTAATATTAGGAAATATTGACATTCCAACACTGAAGTTGTTTCTGGTGAGCGACTCAGGGTCATCATGGCCCTCTTGTTGAATTAAATTGATTCGAAGGATTTGTTAAATGGATAGTTAAAGCAATTGAACTTTCTTCTAGTGTTTGTGTCTTGCGTTTGGGTTACAAATAACGCAACTTGCAAGTTTGCAGTTTAACCTTTAATGTGGTTGTTAATCTCGTTATTTGTAACCCAAAGGCAAGATAGTTAAAGAACTGTCTGGGGCTATAAAGTAAGGGAAAACAGAATCCCGAAAGAACGTCCAAAATAAATAAATTGAAAATGATGTAGGTTTGATTGAGCGTAGTATTAAATTTTGCCTATTTATAAATGTGGAAAATTATAGAGCGCAAAACCAGATTTATTTACAAAACAGTGTTAAACGTGTTAAATTTAGAACATCAAAGAAATTGATAAAATTGACATCATTGAAAACATTTGAACAAACTTGTGACTAACTATTACATTATTCATTACATCTGATAAATTGCAATGTTTAACCATGACAATTGAATTTGATAGCTTTTATATGTGATCTTATTTAAAAATCAAACCATTTGTATTGTGGTTTGCTCTCTCTTAAGTTCACATGAAAAAGCACAGTTTTGTTGGTTCGGAGTTGGTCTTTGACTAGCACACAATGGTTCTTAATAATTTAATACGAATTACTAATTTATTCAGTTTCGAGCACCAATTCTGTTATTGGTCGCACATAATTAACACATTTTCCATTTTTCAACGTGAACCTCAACTGAACAAACTTGATTGTCAACATCACAAGCGTCAACATGACAACAATTCCCACCGGCCAGTTATAACGGTGCTCATCTGTATCTTTCACAAGGACTACATCATCCACTTTCAGATTCTGTTGTTATTGTGTTTATGTAAAGTTTGAATGTTACCTTTTTTACACCGTTTCCAAAACGAGTTACACGAAACGTTCACATATTTATATTGCGACTTTTAAATATCCTTCACATTCAAAGAACCTTCTAATCCAGTCAATTTGTAAGCAAAACCTGTTTCTCTATGTCTGATGACATAGGCTGGATAAGACGTGAGTTTATGATAGCACATACCTCACACATGAATGTACACAACACCTCATGAGTTAGTTTCTGGACATGTGTCTTAAGCAGCAGTGTATCTAAAATTCATCTGGCTAGACCAATGTTTCTCTCCTATACCCCTTTCAAGTGTGACACATGTGGGGCATTGAATTTCCAAAGGATACAAGATTCCTGTAAATGTTTCATAACTAGGCCGTTTTCAACACAAATTCTTTTAATGTTAATATCGTTTAGAGCTCCAACAAAGTAAGTTCCCCTGTCGGACAAACTTGCTTTCACTGGATCTCGTAAAAAAGTCTCAAAGAATTTATAAACTTTAAGGAAGAAATTCTCATTTCCTCTGTTACTTCAATGTGAACATATCTAGTGGTTAAATATGTGAAGAGAACGACAAGTCCCACTCTAGTATTTTTTGCTGTCACATTCCATGGTCCAAAAGTATATACCCCTACCAAAGTGAATGGAGCGGAGCATTCGGTGTCAACCTTTCTGCAGGCAGATCAACTATCCTTTGATTTGAGAATTTGCCTCGGAACCTCCTGCAAATCACTCACATATGAATAGTGCTTGAAATAACTCTTTTGGCACCAATAACCCAAAAATTACCAATTACCGTAACAAAGTTCTTGTAATGAGCAGGCCTTGATTATTTGATATTCCATGGAAATATCTCATCAAAAGCAAAGCTACATGAGACTTCTTCGGTACAATCACCGGATGTTTAGTGACATCTGCAATTGGAGCTTTGTCGATACGTCCTCCAACACATAGAATATAATATATGATCAACAAGGAAAGGCGGCGTTCAATGAACGCAACCCCCTACCGATCCAGCAACAAGAGCCAGTGGCAAGGAGCCCAGGAGGAGGACCCCAAACAAAAACAGGACAGGGTACAATGCAGAGCATGGGCAGGCTAACCACTAAAATGATAAATAATTAGTAACTGATAAGGAACTAAAAGAAAACAAATAAATGATTAAATAATAGGCCCATACAGTCAAAGGGCACAGGGGACAGGAGACCCGGGGAAGGGAAGGGATAAACAAAATAAATAAAAACTAGGGGCAAAGGGGAAGATACTTACCGTATACGAGAAAACAACAAGGGACACAAGTGTCACCAAAACAGTTTGAAACAACATATACAACATCTGAGGAACACAGAGGGGCGCCGCCTTGGAACGGTCAGCAGCATAAATACTGCTGGGGAGTTTAAACCGGTTAATGGTGCACCAAACCTCGCTTTTAGCCCCACCATGTTCCTATAACGAGACAGTCTAAATAAAATGAATCCCCGCCAAGTGAAATTCAAATTGGATTAAAGCCGCAAAATTCCTGCATTGGTAGTGAGAATTTTGTAGGCGTGTTTATCAAATAAATTAACAATCAATCATGCAGAGGACTCTGAACATTTGCTAATAGCTAGTGTAAACAAACACTATAGCCAGCAGACGATAACATTTACTCATCATGCTATGCGTTGTACAACATTTCAATCTAATTATTCCAAGAATCTTTGTAATGAGATATTTTTGCTTTCTTAACAGGAATTGTGTATGCCATTTCTGGATTTCTTTTATAGCTAACAGTTCTCTCAGATGTAAAATCCCTATTTATATTTTCATTCCAGTCCAATAATGCCAAGTTAATCCTTGATTTGTAGGTGGGAAAACCAAATGAAATTCTCATGTCAACAAATTGTAATAAAGCGCATTGTTTAAAGACTCTACATAATGTGTGTACGCAGTCCTTTAAAAAAAATTGGTCAAGATTTCAATCACTTTTCAGCAGAAATTTTGAACATTCATAGTTCACATCTGTTTTACATCTTGATGTTGACAAACAACTGCGGAATAGTAATTTGTGTTCTTAGAGCAGCTTCTTTGTCTGATGGCTTTTCGTGCCAAGTTTTCCCATAATTTTGTCTAAGCCCAGAAGTTATTCGTTTTGCAGTTTTGGAAATTGATTTTGTCATGTGCCAGGTTTTTTATAGCATTATGGGTTGGATTTCTTTCTTCAAGCACTTGAATGTTATAAAATTGAGTAAATGAAATTATGCAACAGGAAGAGTACTTCATATTTTGGAGACCTCAGTTTATCTTTAGTGTGCATTCTTTTGACACAATCATTGCTTACTCAGTCTATCAAAAATCATATCATGGAAATATAAAATTAATATAATTAAATTTAAAAGTTTAAAAATAAAGAAATATAAAAAACAACGGTAAATCAAAGTCTGAGACATGAGTACATACACATTCAGACTGCATAAGGTCTAAACTTGGCATATTCACTATTAAGACCAGTTCACTATTAAGACCAATTTGAATCATTCCCGTAAATAGTCTTAATAGAGAGAAATTACTGAATTTGCACATTTACGAGACTCTGGTTCTAGATATTTTACCAAAAGATCAATTTCTTCATAATGAGAGTGCTCTTCAGAGCTGACAATATTAGTAAAGCTTGCCTCCCATGTAAGAAATGTTTCAGGTTTATCGTCAAAATATGTAAGTCTACTAAGCTACAGATCCTTTTTAAGTAGAAATTGTGAAAGACCATGACTCATTCCATTGTTTTTTTTCCATTGAATGGTGTTGCATTCAACATAGAACTATAGTCTTTATAGACATTTGACAGTGTTATGTTATTACTTGTCAACATTTGATATATTTGCTGTTGATTTGGAAGCTCTACCTTGTTCAAAGGTATCTCGCCTGTATACACTTCTGAATTACTTACACTCAGTTTGTCTCTTAAAACATTGTGTTGGTGTAGATCAACTTTTGGAGTGGGTTGCACACTTTGATGTGTATACATGAGGTGAAGGAGTTCGCATGATGCTTGTTTCATGTAATTCCTCAATGTATTGTACAGTGAATTCCTTTCTTTCTACTTCACTATTTCCATCATTATTGTCAATATCTTCTAATGCTTGTAGTTCTGTAACAGTAACTGCAGGTTCACTTCCTAACTTGATAATATTAATATCTACTTCTAGTTCTGTATTTTGTCTAACTGTTCTAGCTACAGTTTTTTTTATTTTATCATGGCTTTTTTGGTTAAGAACTTCAGCTTCTTTTTTCTTGTATAACAACTTAGATTTATGCACTTCTGCTTCGACTCTCTTCTTTGACGCAACTGAAACATGACTTGAATGACTTGTACTAGCTACTTCAACTAAGTCTAACTTTTGAGAACGCACCTTCTTAAGAACCTAGTTAATAATTTTCTTTCATTTTAAAAAAGCATGTGTATTCTTGCTTAATTCTTCATTTGATGCAGTAGTGTTCTCATGTGACAAAAAGTTTGTAAATTCATTGTTGTTTTGAACAAGTTCTTGGAATTTTGTTTTTATTTCTTCTTCTGATTTTCATAAGTCACTTAATTCACATTTGTTATTGCCTATTATCAATGTTTTCAAACATGATCAACCTTTTGGAAAAGTTTGCTTCTATTCACTTCATACAAATTTGTTCCTTTCTCTCTTAGTCTTTTCCTCTCAAGTTCTTCCGAAGATTGAAGCTCTGGCGGATCGCCCTTAACTGACATATTTTAGTTACTAAGTATGTTTCAGACAATTTCACTGTTGTCAGACTAATCGAATGCCCGGTACCTCTTTATGCCCTTTTGTTTAAAGGGTAAGGTATGTTATAGATTCATGTTATCAATACCAACAGAAGTTTGGCTGTTGATAACAAATAGTTTTTGATGAGCTTGTCCCAAAGACGATTCCGTCTTTCATCATTTCATCTTTATTTACATAAAATTTTACAGTCAGTAGCATTTATTCTTAACCGCGTGACAAATTTGTCAATGCTTTCACTTCCCTGAACTTCAATGTTAAATTTATATCTGGCAAAAACGGAATTTATTGTTGGCTGAACACGGGATTTAAATTTGTCATGATATTTCTGTGGGTTATTCGCATCATCGTCTGTGAATGGTTCCCATGTTGAAAACATCTCTCTTCCTTTGTCCCCAACCCATATCAGCAGATATGATATTTTTTCTTCATTACTTTCCTTCCTTCAGAGGTCCAGAGAACAACACAACATTTCGTTGAAATTTCGTCCACTGTTCAGGGAGATTGCTGACTTCCCAATTCATGACTGAAGCAGATATTCCTGGTTCCCGTGTTGAAAAACATCTCTCTTCCTTTGTTCCCGTACCATATCAGTAGATATGATATTGTTTATGCTCCCCGAAAAATTTCGGGGGAGCATATAGTCGGCGCCTTGTCCGTCTGTCCGTCCGTCCGTCTGTCCGTCCGTTGTCTTGTCCGGAGCAAAACTTGAAAACCCTTGGAGATAATTTGTTTAAACTTCATACAGTGGTAGAGGGCATTGAGGGGGAGTGCAGTGTCAAAGAACCATAACTCTATTTTGCCCGGTTTTTGAATTATCTCCCCTTATAGAAAAATCTTGTCCGGGGCATAACTTTAAAACTATAAGAGATATCAACATGAAACTTTGTAGGTGAATAGATCTCAATGGATAGGTGTGCAGTGTATACGGACAATAACTCTGTTTTCCCTAATTTTGGAGTTATTGCCCTTTGTTAATTTCAACACTTTGAACTTTGTCCTGAACATAACTCTAAAACTATAAGAGATATCAAGATGAAACATTGTAGGTAGATAGATCTCATTGAGTAGAAGTGCAGTGCAAAAGAACCATAACTCTGTTAAGCCTCATTTTTGAATTATCACCCCTTTTTAAAAAATCTTGTACTGAACATAGCTGTAAAACTATAAGAGATATCAACATGAAACCTTGTAGGTAGATATATATTTCAATGGGTAGATGTGCAGTGCACAAGAATCATAACTCTGCCTTGCCTAATTCTGGAGTTATTGCCCTTTGTTTATTTTTACTTTTTGAAGTTGTCCGGAACATAACTCGGAAACCATAAGAGATATCAACAAGAAACTTTGTAGGTTGATATATCACAGTGATTAAAAGTGCAGTGCAAAGAACAGTAACTCTGCCTTGACTAATTTTGGAATTATTGCACTTTGAACTTTTTCCAGGGACATAACTCTGAAACTACAAGAGGTGTTCTTTCCTGTGTCCAAAACCTATTCGGGGAGCATCACCCGGCTCAAACCGGGCTCTTGTTCTTTATTACTTTTTTTGCCTTCAGCAGTCCAGAGAACAACACAACATTTCGTTGAAATTTCGTCCACTGTTCAGGGAGATTGCTGACTTCCCAGTTCATGACTGAAGCAGATATGCCTGACAATCTATTTTTACCGGTTTAAACGGAGGGGACTTTATGTTTACCCTATGACCGTCAATCCGTCCGTCTGTCTGTGTGTCAACAAAACTGGATCCCGTGATAACACAAAAAGCGCTGAATTTTTTTTTTATGAAACTTGATATACGGAAAGATGGCAGCCTGGAGATTCAGAATATGTACGTCTTCGTCATTTCTTCCAATGTTGAAAAATTTGGTTGCTATGGCAACAAAGAGACTGAAATATGGCAAATTTAACACATTAATTGGATTCAGTGATAACGCAAAAAATACTGAAAATATTTTTGTGAAACTTGATACATGGGGAAGATGGCAGTCTGCGGATTATGGCCGTCTTTTACTTTTCTTCCTATATTAAAAAATTTAGTTGCTATGATAACAGACTTAAATTTTTTCATTTCTTAAGGTGCTTACTTCAAATATATTATAATGTTATTGATCATCAACCACATATAAATGTGACAAGGTTTACAACACTAGCACAAAAATTATCCGAATCACCCCCTTGAACAAATTTTGTTGTTTTTTCATAAGTTCTTTTTTTCTTAATTTATTTACTTCAAACTACATATATATGTTTCTGATTATAACTCAAATCATTTTTGAGAAGGTTAAATACATAAAATGTATAGCATATTAAACTTTATTTTCCATAATTATGTACTGTTTGTTTGGGCCAACAAAAGTAAACACACGCGAGAGTAAATAATTGACAACTGGTCCTTAGCATTTGATGTTAATGCACCCATATGCACGCTGGTGTGAAATGCAGTTTCATGTCTAGCTTGTGGACAGTAAATGATCATCTGAACACAATAAATAAAGTCCGTATAGATATTTCATTTATGTTTCCTAAATAAGAATTGAATTCCATATAAGATCCAGTATACATTGTGAAGTGATACAAAATCTAGAAACACCGTTAAACCTTACCCTGCTGAATTGTGTAATTGATTTGCCCAGCTTTGACTGAATAAAAATCCATTCAAAGATAAAGTATTTTAATATTCATCTAATTTATTCCTCAATAGGGACCACTTAGCCTGTTAATATATTTTATAAACATTCCGACGTAAATATTTTAACCTTTTTTTTTAGTTTTAAACGAAAATTTGTGTAAATAATAAGTGGAAAAAATATATTTACATAATGCCTTTATTATTTTTTCTGTCATTTGCAGTCGATAGTTGATAATGATTGTTAACATATTGACATAAGGTAGTGTTACTGAAGTCACTGACGTATATAATTTGTAACAAGATTATGATCTTTAAAATTCTTTGAATCATTTATTACAAATGTTTATCAATTATTATATATCAATTCGAAAATATGTAAAAATATAATATATATACATCTATGTGCAATAAATAAAGGTATGACTTGACACATTTTGTCTTATTTATATATCTTTATTTCAGCCCTCTGATAGATATAATTGTATTTTGATTGCATGTGGCTAGTAAGATGACCCTGACTGTAAATGTTTTGAGACCCATGATTGCTGATATTTACCAAACATCGATGAAATAGCTGCGTTCCACCTGAGGTCTTCCTCACTGTATGACCTTTACTGTGTTGATGTGACTTAATCAAAAATAGAACACAAAATTACTATTGTATGTTCAGAATGTGTTGCATTTGTTATAGAGAAGCTCCAAATATTTCAGACGTAGAGTGGAATGTATTGTTAATTCAGTAGAAATCCTCCAAAAGATGAGTATTCGCTACCGTGAATGTCGCCCTTTAACCCTGCATTTCTTATTGTGACAATATCACCTTCACTTAATTGATAAAGAACTGTTACACTTGTACTGTCATGTCCATTATTTAGTCCATGGGCGTAGAAGTTAGTTTTTTGCTGATTATTTACTGCTACGTGTAAAAATACCATAGCATTATTGTGACCAAGTACTGTAGAGAAGAAAACGTAATCCCCATTTTTCGGCGCCACAAATTTTCCACATGTTTTGTCGTATGAGGAACCAATATGTGTCACTATTTCTTCAAATACAACTATCTGATGTTTTGTCATCCCCAACTGGTGAGCTTTTGCTATGGCGAAGAAAGCTACCTTGCCAACTGTATGCGACTGCAAGTCTGAAATGAAGGAAGAATATTTATGCGTCTGCATTTTGTAAAAACTTTTTGTGTCGCCTTGAAAAAGGCAACATATAGGGGTTCCTTTTGTCGGCGGTGTCGGCGTCGGCGTCCCCTTAAGCTTGTCCGGAGCATAAATCAGTCATAATAAGTCGGATTGACTTCAAACTTGGTATGCATGATTTTTATAATGACCTGAAGTGCAGTGCACAAGAACCGGTACTCTGCATTTCTTATTTTTTGAGTTATTGCCCTTTCTTAATTTTCATACTTTATTTTTGTCCGGGCCATTTCTCCTAATGTATAAAAGCTATGGACTTGAAGCTTGATAAGATGATAGATCTCATTAAGAAGAAGTTGAATGCACAAGAACCGGTACTCTGCACTTCTTAATTTTTGAGTTATTGCCCTTTGTTAATTTCATACTTTATTTTTGTCCGGGCTATTTCTCCTAATGTATAAAAGCTATGGACTTGAAACTTTATAGGATGATAGATCTCATTAAGAAGAAGTGCAGTGCACAAGAACCGGTACTCTGCATTTCTTATTTTTTGAGTTATTGCCCTTTGTTAATTTTCATACTTTATTTTTGTCCTGGCCATTTCTCCAAATGTATAAAAGCTATGGACATGAAACTTTAAAGGATGATAGATCTCATTAAGAAGAAGTGCAGTGCACAATAACCGGTACTATGCATTTCTTATTTTTCGAGTTATAGCCCTTTGTTTATTTTCATATTTTATTTTTGTCCATGCCATTTCTCATAAATTATAGAAGCTTTAGACTTGAAACTTCATAGGATTATAGATCTTATTGATAAGAAGTGCAGTGCACAAAAACTGCTGCTCTGCATTTCTTATTTTTTGAGTTATTGCCCTTTGTTAATTTTCATATTTCATTTTTGTCCTGGCCATTTCTCCTTAACTATATTGTTCACAAGGCGCGGAGTTCTAGTTTCTTCAATTTTGCAATCATTTGTGTTAAGAAATGACTTTTGGGACATGAACAAACACTGCAACAAAGTTAATCACATGAATTGCTTTTGACCATTGCTTAAATTCATAGGTAATAAGACCCCCTCCGTGGTCGAGGGGTTAGAGTCGATGACTTCTAATCCAGTTACCTCTCTGGCTCGGAGATGCTTTGGTAGTTTAGCGCGGAGGAAAGTAGTCTGGTACTGGTGTAACTCTCCAGGAACGATGGTTAGGAAACTACCCACCTATATGACTGAAATACTGTTGGAAAAAGGCGTAAAATGAAACAAACAAACAAAAGCAAACCAACATAGGTTATAAAATGTATGTATGTATGATCTAAATCAAAATGATCGAATTCATCCAAAGTAAAGTTTTGAATAATTTACACATGACTAAATCAAAAGATGTACTTAAGGAAAACATTATTAAATTGTGATTTTCCAGATGTAAAATAAAAACATCTACTTTACTAAAATTAAAAAATGAAACATGCCCTTTACTAAAGTAAAATTCGGACACAATTTTTAAAAAACGCGACATACCTTTAATATCATCTGTTAGAAGTTTATTTGTTTCCTCTGCTTTCTGTAATTTTCGTTCAATCTCTTCCATTCGAATTTCCATCCTTATCATCTTCTCTAACATTTTCTCCTCATAGTGATATCTTGAGCAATGGGGCTCTCCGTGTACATTCACAATTTGTATAAGTAGCAAAATCTGTGCAAAATATAGCGCATTCATATCTAACTAAACGTCCCTTTTATAACTTAATATTGGCGTAAGCTTACGGAGTTGTTTACATTTAACTATTAAGACAACCATTCATTTGTAAATGTCCATGGCTGCTTGACTATATATTTATCACCTACAGGTATTTTTAGAGGCCCATTAAGCCTGAGATACCTTATAAAACCATATTATTTTCTCAAAAATTATTATGGATTTCCTGTTTCATTTACCATATGGATTAACCATCCTTCGCTTTCTTCGTTCTTTAACGTTTGGTAAAAACATATTGATTTAGTACGAAAGTCATAATACCGATCTATTGCTACTTTTATGGCACATTATTGCACAACCAGTAATACTTTTTTCCCTTTTTTTCGGGGCGGGGGAGAGGGATTACGTAATATGGCGACTTTGCAACTTCGTAGCGGAAGACCTAAGGTGCCTATTTTTTGCATTATATCAGCTGAGTAAAATTACGTACGCTGACTGGGCAGCTTTCTCACATAAAAGAATCCGAAAGCGCTGGCGCGGTTTGAACATACATCGGTAAGATGTAATGGGTTTGAAGTAAACGACATTAATCACTGATTAACATTTAACTTGGTCTCTATCTTTTTTTTAAATATTATTTAACACGTATTTACTCATTCTACTGAAATATAGAATAATTCATTTCTTAATATGATTTTTATCTGCATCAGTGCGATATTTTCATTTGATAAAGTGAGATAAAACAGAGCTTCTTTGATGTATCGATATTTTGATTTACCGTTTTAACAATTACAAGTATATTCCTGATTAAATTTCCAGGGACTGACTGTTATGATGTAATATGATAAGAAAGCTCATTCTTGCTTAAATATGCGTTCATATTAACGGAGAAGAAAACGTGTTTTAGCGGATAAAATTCTCGTGACCTCGCACCACTGTCTCAGGTTTTTTAACATGTGTGTAGCAGGGCACAATGTCAATGTCCATTATTGTTTGATTTAATTAACCTGTCAACTGCATTCTGATTATACGGTCAATGCACACAATACATGTATATTAATCTTCGGTAAATTTTATGCGATATACACAGTTAGAAAGTGTTTAATGTATGAAATAGTTATACTGACTGTTAAAGCTCAAAAGCGTAAACTGTATGTGTTTATAATTTCTTAATGTCCTACGTGTTTTAATATCGAGACCACGTATGTCCAAGTTTTTTTGGGGTTTTTTTCTTCTTCTTCTTATTTTAAACATTACTGAAGCTATAATTGTTTTTTATGTTCTTTTTGTTTTTCTAAATATGTTCTGACCTTGTTTTGGTAAAGTCTATACTCTTTTTAAATAACATGGTTTAATAATTAATATCTAAAATTTATTCAAATTAAAATCAATTTATTTATGTCATTTCATTTCCGTAAAATACAATAAAACCACACAGACAAAACAGTATTTCTAAGTTATTTTATATCCGCGTAGACAATTTTGCAAGCATTTGGCGATTTTCTTTGAAATATACTTTAAAAAGAATAAGTCTAAAAAGTAAGGATCGAACCATAGATCTAGGAAACACTTGACCGACTTGCTATTGCAGATTTTAGGATTATATTACTTGGAAGTTCCTATATTTTAGACTGTCGAATAAAAAGAAGGAGTGTTTGCATGATATGCATATTGTATGTATCATACAAATGCACAGAAAGTTGCAGCTGCGCAGAATGCCTTAAAAACCACACCAGTTGTTAAAATCCAGCTAGCTTACGGAACGTCTGTGGTTCTACTCAGGTGCCCGTTCGTGCCTGAAATAATGCATGGAAGGGCACCTGGGGTCTTCCTCCACCAGTAAAGCTGGAACGTCTCCGAATGACCTATACTGTGTCGGTGTGACGTAAAACCCAAAACAAACAAGCAAAAAAAAACGTCATATTAATTCTCGTAAACTATATAGACAAAACCGAAGTAGGATCGAATATTCAATTAAATGAGTGCTGTAATGTATTCATAATTGACAGGTTGTGTTGTCTTAACGTGGTTCGATTCTTGGAAAAGGCATTTTTTTTTTAGATATTTTTCAAAGAACTGAAGTTCAGATCCTCGTGAATTTATTTCACACAATACTATTTGAGAACATTTAGTTTTACACTTAATCGCTTTTAACAAGTTAAGTTAGAGGCAACACAGTCGTAATTACAGCGATAAATGTGGAATTGAACAAATCTAAATATATAAATATACAAATGAGCCGAAATTGTTAAAAAAATTGTTACAAACTGAATTCAGAATTTTAAATAGAATTAAATTGACAATACTTTTCAATCTGTTTGATGACTGTTAAAATCAAATACATTCAATTTTGCTAAATCGTTATAAGTTTAACTTTAAATTGTACAAAATATTAAATTAATCACAGGTTTATAAAAGAGAATATGAAAATGTTTTCTGAAAGTAAAAACCAAATTTAACAGACATAAAAAAATATTGCACAATTCCAGATTTGAACTCGAAAGAAAAGCATTTTCTTAACATGAACTCTTCATACAGGTCATAATCTGAACTATCTAACCACTACGCTACTCGAATTTGCGTGACTATATCCAATTTGATTCTTCTTTATTTCAGTAAAAGTGCTTAATGTAATAACTAAATAACTTGCACAACCCATTTTATCATAATGGTTTGACCGATTATTGTAAACGTTATCGTTGTCGACTTATACCAAGTGGTAGTTTGATCAAAACATAACTGTCAAATGACATCGCACAAGCACGTGGAAAACATGACAATGGTTTAATGAAACGCAGGACATATATTTTAATCATAAGTAGTAGTCATGTTCACACTCGTAGCGTGCCTTTAAAGCCAAACACATATAATTTTCACAGTATTTTTTTACTTTGTTGATGTTGCTGTAGACTATTGTCAAATTGATGTAATAAAATCTTGACTGTGGCTTTATACTTACACACAACATGATGCAATTGGATAATAACATCAATACAACACCGACTTTTTACGTGCCTTTTTTGCATTTGCCGATTTTAGGTAATATTGTTAAAAACCAAAAGATATAAAAATTGATGAGTTGTGATTATTGACAAAATGTAAAATAAACTATTTCAGCTGTAGATGAAAAGCATCGCCAAATGTGACGCAGCTATTGTTTTATCAGTTCCTCTAAATATATAACGTCTTTTTCAGACGGTACGTTAAACATGCCATCAATTTATTTTCTTTTATAAAGGGACTTTATCGAATCTTAAGGCCCTCTACGTCAGAAAGACCATCTATATTCATTCATGTGTACCGACCTTAGTGATTGATTCTTTTTGAAGAATTATTCAGGATCAACTTTCCACGTTTCTACATGAATAGGAATATTCCTTACTTATTTTTTATCCGATCTTACAACTATGGGTGAATGCGTTAAGTAATAAACAATTGATATAACAGGGGATTATTTCGGTTGAACAGTCCGTTGTGACATTACAATACCTTTTGCTCTCTAATCTTCCTACATACTTCTTGAATATTATCACATATGTTGCATTTAGCAAATAAACAGTTTCTTAGTACGTTATAGAGTTAACTGTACATGGAGTAAAAAAAGTGTTGTAGAAACAAATAGATCATGTATAGGTATGGAATTAATAAATCATTATAAATAAGTATACGCGCATTTCATTTGGCATTTATATAAAAAAATCTTTGACTACTATCGTGAAAATATTGATAATTTATACAATTTTTAAACCAAAAAAATGTGTCAAGCATGAATTATAATGTTATAAACATTCTAAAAAACAGTTGTTGATAAACATTTTCAATTGACTTAAGACATAAACAACAATGAAAATTTGGCAAGTTTTGTAAGTTTGCAGCATCATTTCACTAAGTTTTGACATACAAGTTATGACATACAACTGTTTAAGGTTTACATTCTCATGAGATATTAATTATAAAAATACTTTCACTTTTTACTGTTTTTTAAAAACTCTATATACCATAAAAATTCCAACGCTTGTTTTCATTTGGCACCCTCGTCGCCTAATTTTAATGACATTTTTAACATTAACAACTTTAACAATTGAGAAATTGAAAAATCCTGTAACCTGGATGTCAAATGAAGGGTTCTTGCCATTTGCAAATTTATTTGATTATAATAGTGGTATTTTCTTTTAGTTTTAGGTGCAGAGAAATACTTCTTATTATTCTACTTCAAGTGTTCATCGTGTTTCTATTTTTGAAGCCATATATTAATTTCACATCAATAGAATCAGATGAATTTGAAAATAAAACAAGTCGCATTAATAGAACTCAAACAAGATACAAGATAAACCAACACATTGATACAGGTCAACAAAGTGTAAGACAAGACCTAAAACATACAGATGGAAGACAGAAGGTGGAAAGGATTTCATTCTTAAAAGTGCAAAAAAGTGGATCAAGCACAGTTGCTTGTATTTTTGTCAGATTTGGAATAAATAATAATCTGTCTATGTTTTTGCCAATACAACCTTCAATTTCCCGGAAGAAACAAAACTTACTTTTGGAACAGAAGAAACATTATGATATATTTATAATACATACACATTATAATTACAAATTCTTCACTAATATTGTTCATAACCCTACAATAATTGGGCTCGTTCGGAGACCAGAAACGAGACTTGTTAGCCATGCTTTCTTTTTTGGGCTGGCAAAGAAGTACGAAAATTTGAAAGAACTAAGTCGTCAGGATTTTATAAACGAATTGGTTACAAATACATCGCGATATGGTGTTCAAAACATAATGGGGTCGTTTTTTGGTTTAAATGATCTTAGTTTATCCGAGCAGTCTTTACGAAAGCAGCTGCTAAAACTTAATTCGGAATTTACTTTGGTACTTATATTGGAAAGACTTGACGAGTCACTCATTATTCTTAAACGACTCCTTAGGTGGTCACTTTTCGACATAATATACGCAGCTAAAAAAACCAGGCATCGCAATACTGTACACTTAAATGCGAGTCAAATAAGTCATTTGGAAGTTACTAACAATATTGAATACGCCATTTACAACTTCTTTTACGAAGAACTTGAAAGAAAGATTCAAAATGCCGGGAAAGATTTTATGCGGGAAGTTGAAAACTTTAGAAATATTCTTAATCAGACAAGAGAATTCTGTGACTTTAAAAACGGTAACGATGAGCCCTTTTATACTTTTCCCGCATCGATGTGGGATGATAGCTTCACAATATCTAAATCAGACTGTTTTATTATCTTCAAAAATGATGTAACACAACTGAAAAGTGGCCGTTTGACAGAGTTCTAAACTTATGCTAATTTTTTCACGTCTTTATCATGTGTTTAAAGCACTTTGCATTTGAGCTTGAATTACATTGGTATCTAATTTTGTGCATATACTGAAGTGATTATTTCGGTGTTTAGCAGAACAAAAATCATCAGATTTCATCATAAAGCTGTTAAACATTTGACAACATTTTGTCATGAATCAAACAATCTTACAGGCAATATAATACATTGCATTGACAACTTTCTGTAGATTTGATCGGAGATTTTCGATCAACATTCAGGGGATCTTTATTGTATCATATTTTAGACCATGTTCGGAGATGGTCGGTAAGCTATTGTAGTTACTATAAACTGCCATTTACTGATTTACTGGTAGAAACTATCTGAAAAGCTTATAAAAATATATGTATATGTGATTAATATTCTTCGTGAAAATTTACAAAAATATTACTACATCATATTCAGAAATATGAAATATACGAGACATATTTCTGTACACCAAAAAAGTAATCATTCAATTAATTTTCATTAGTCATGTTTGAAACAGACAAAGTGATCGCTTGTTTTATATCCCCGGTGTATGTAAAAACAAGCGATCAAATGTACTTGATTGACGTTTATTTATCTTTTTCTTTATGATATATGTTAATATTCAATAAGAAATTTTAAGTACCGAGAAATACGAATAAGGATAAGGAAGTAAATGTACATGATGCTAAAATTGATTCTGTACTTTTTCCTAAAGTACAGGAAAGACCATCGAAGCACGAGGTAATCTGATTTGTTTGAGGGTTTGAAACCTTCGTATATTTATCAGATTGTCGATTGTCTTTATGTTTTTCTTCTTTTGTATTATAGGCAAACCATCTCGTCAAAATTTGTTAACCCAAGAAAAAAAATACGAGTATATGGATATATCTATTTTATCATTATCCCTTTCCCTGTAGTCACAATAAATAAATCGCAGAAAAATGGGCATGCTCTAATTTTATCCTTGACAGTATGTGGGGAGTGCGGGTAACTAATGCCTCTACTCCAATTATCGCACGATAAATTTATGGTCGGACATTTTTTCAATGAAAAGGTCTCAAAACTACGATACACGGTGTATATATCCAATTGTAATATACATGTACTAAGACACTGGTACATAGTAACAGATAAGTAAAATACCCAGAAGATTTTTAATGTCACAATGAAACTGTGCTACAAAAATTTGTTTGAGATTATTATTTTTAACATATATATGTATAAAGCTAATAATCTACATTCAAATAAAGAATGTTAAATAAGAAAAACTGAAAGTTATACAGAAAGAAACAAATATTTTGCCTTCTCATCCCTATAATTTTAGACAAGCTGTGTGTATAATTAAAATGTAAACATCATGTTACAACTTAATCTGCTTTGAGCTCCACAGCTATAAAAAACTAAACGGTTAACGTCATTCCGGGATTTTGTTATTCTTTCTAAATTACTTCTTGCAGGAACTGTCAACATGCCTGCATTTTGCTTATACAATAGATAAACAATATAATACAGCTGTTCTTAACCGATATCTCTCTTTACAGAATAAAGCTGTATGAAACAGTTTCTAAAAGAAATTTGTTGGTACAACAGCGACTTGAGCATAAAAGTTCTCAATAATTGTTTTCTGTTGTTGAATTGTAAACACAAGTATAGAAATGAGAACTCGGACTTTATTTGGACAAGTTTGTTTATATGTTATTCTTTTGTTTAGCCATGACTATTGCTCACCTCTCGAAGTAAGCAATATCACGGATGATAATCTCATTAATGGGAACTATCTAATTAATATGGCAGACAAAATGGACAACCCGTTGTTGAAACTTCTTGGTAAAGCATTTCAAGGCATTGAACAAACTGTAAGTGAACTAGATACTCAAGCAATGTTACAAAATGAAGCTTTGGAAAACATTGGAAATATCACCAATAATATCGAAAAGATAAGTAAAAAGGTGGCTGCTCAAGTTGTAGACATTTGTAATTTACATCCATGCAATGAATGGAGTATGTGGACAAATTGTGATGCAAAAACAAAAGGAGCATTTGGTACGCAAAGACGAATGAGAAAATGTGGTTATAGTTCGGAACTTTGTACGAGGAAAAACGAAACAAAGCGTATTGAAAAAGATTTTAAACTTTGTGAATATTCTCCATCTTGTTTGCCGAGCTACAATCTAACAGAAGAAGGTTTTTGTGTTAAGTTGTATACCGATACTAAAACTTGGTTTGACGCTAATCAGCAGTGTTCTGATGATGGAGGACATTTGATTACTATTTTGTCTGCTACGAAGTCTTCTCTCGCTGAAGCTATTTTTAATCGTTATAGTGTAAGCGATGTTTGGATAGACGGGATTAAGAAGTCAAGTACAGGAGAATGGCAATTTGTGAAAAATTTCGACGTATAGGAATTGGGGAGTGTTTCAACCAGATGACACCTTGTACCCAAGCTGCATAAATATTTATAGATCCTCTTATTGGTATGATGATCCGTGTACGAACAAATACAGTTTCATGTGTGAAATCGATTTAGAGATTTTACCTAACTGAGTCTGGATTTGTGCTATATGAGACAGACAATTTCTTAGATAAATTTTCTAGTACGTCGTTATTGCAGACACTGTGACGATAAATTGCATTTCAGAATGCTTGTACTATGCGCTTAAAGACAGAAATATTGATGTCGGTGACCCCATTTTTGCTCTTAATTGTTATTTTATGCTAAGATCATGCAAATTTTAAAAGTATAATTGGCATAAAGTACATTTGATGATGCTTAATTTTTAGCAAGATAGTTTTCAGTCATCAATTCAGTCATCATTTAAAACAGACATGAAACAGCTGCAGCAAATATTTTTGTAATGTTGCATGTTATTTGATATATTTTATTGCTAATAAGATGGTGGTCACCCCTGCTTTAAAAATTGCTACTTTGTCTAGTCATGTGCCCGTAGAGAAGATTTTACAGCACAAAATAAAAAAAATTAAATGTTATGCGTGTATGTTTCTCATATACCCATATATTGTAATGCATAAGTTAGACTATGTTTCAAGTATCATATAGTAACTGACTAAGATGTACTTTTATCGCGACTGTTTAAACATACCCAGCAATATCGATACAATAAATACATTTAATTGATTTCTATTTCCTTGTCCCTAGAGAGAAAACTGTTATTTAACTTAATCGCACATAAAAAAGTAAAACATCATGCATTAGAATTCCACTGTCTGCATTTGCTTTTCCACCAGCGATTGTATATTCAAACTACAAAATGTATATTCTTATTCCCATAAAAATGTCTCAAACTAAAAGGTTTTTTTCATGAGCAGATGGAATTTTTGACACTGGTAAAACCCTTCACTGACTTTTTTCTATGTTTGACAAATACAATTTACACGGTCATCCTGTTAATATTAAACTGTCCACGATACAACGAATTGATCCCATGCAAGTGTTAACCATATTTCTTCAGCACTGATTAAACATGATGAAATTAAAGAAAATTTCTCTAAATCTAAGTTTCGAAAGTGTATAGTTTACTTTGAGATGAAATAAACTAGTGTTCTTATCACGTCAAATGATTCTGACATTGATCACTATGTGACAAAATGCTAATGGAAAACACATTTGCAGTAATTGACAATATTTCAATTTCTATTCACGAACAAATATAGATATTATTTACACAATATGAAAGGAAAATTTAATTACTTAACGCTAGCAATTGCTTATATATAAGATATGATTTCACCAGATATATTCGAGGGTTGTCCCAAAAGTTTGCATTTAAGTTCAATTATAATTTAATATGACACACTATACGCATATTTGAGACAATCAATGTTTTTACTATCAAATAATTATTTGGCAAATTTTACAGAAAATTACAATTAGTACAATCTAATACGTCGAAATTTTGGCAACTGGCGCACATGAGAATGTTAACAATTTTCACCCTCAAAATGTGTTCTTTTATCAATTACCTACAGGCACCCCGAATCGTCGCCAGGTTATCTGATGTTATTAAGATTTAAATATCATGCATCTACATTTCCTTACATGACGCATATTTCTTTGAAACTAATTGCATATAAAAAATAAACAAAAATGGCGTAATTTGAGGTTCACGAATATCTGAGTATAACAAAGTTACTGCGCGTCTTTTAAGAAACAATCAAGGATAAAACAACAATGAATAAAATTATAAATTGTTGAAAGGGATAAAACACTTGATTTTCTCAGCCGGAAGAGCAGCTTATATGCAAAGCTCATTGTGACGTCACTTAACAGACAAAGGCCCACACAGAATATTGATCGTCATTATTGGAATGCGAACGGTCACTACACCCTACACACCCTAGCTATCAATCAAGTACAAAATTCTTCATGAAGAGTGAGAAAGTCATGGAATCCCGTTGAAGTTGAAATGACGTCATTACTTGCACAGTTCCCACTGTACTGCATAGTTTAAATGCCTGTTATTTACAAGCAAATATCATTAAATATAGAAAAGTTTGCATGTAACATGGCAATATACATGTATGGTATATAAATATAGATTTTCAAATGCTTTTTTTCAATTTAGAGAATTATAAAGCTTTGGGGAAACTTCGCATGTTTTCAAATAGTACTACACCTTTTTACACTGTCGTATGTTATCAATAATATTATCTTGGAAAAGACTCTAGATAGTCCGTTTCATGTAACCCTGGACTATGAAAGAAATACAACAATACAATACAATATGCACTTTACCCGCTTCAAAGTTGAATGATAAATATAATGACTGATTTATGCCACATAGTCGTATTTTTGTGTTTCTAAGTACAATTCGCTCCGCAGAGCCAAAGTACAATAAAGAGGTCATTTTGTCGTGTTTTCGCCTAGCGCTCATCAGAGCGAAAGAACGACAAAATAATCACATTGTCTTATTTTCGAGTTTTCGTCTGGCGCCACGCGGAGCGAAAGTACCAGAAAATGGTCACTTTGTTGTGTTTTTCGTCTGGCGCCCTACGGAGCAAAAATGCGTCATGGGACAAATCAGTCACAATAGATAATATTATAACTCGATTCAATCATAGCAACTTATAAATAAGATAGGAACAACACGATATAAGTATACCGATTTATCAACATGGTTCAGCACAATTTCAGCATATCAACGTGATACGATATCAAAGAAGGAAAATTATTACAGATGATAACTAAATAAATTCATTCAAATAATTGTGTCGCGTTTAAAAAAAGCTAACAATGTATTGTAAAAGAATGTTTCTGACTATATGCTGCATGCCTATGCGTCACAAAATAATTAAAAAAATATTTGATGTAATTTCTTACAATAAATAAGCTTTGCTGACGGCTGATACACAGCAGTTCAGGGTATTTGTATTATAAAAGGCTGACGTTATAAACTTAAATATGTAATGTTGTTTTCAAACGATTGCAAATGTCTATGTTCACACTTTATCTGCTTGATCAGGAAAGACTGGCTTTAGATTATCGTGTGCAATAGAGGAAATTGTATATTTTTAGTAGAGATTACGGCTGTAATTGGCTCGACAGGGCGTAATTGCTGTAAAACCTGTATGAATGGATGAAAGTAAATGAACATCTGCTACATTAACAATTAATTCCACGGTAATACTAGCATTATTACTTTGGGATTTGAATCCAATGTGACAGATGCTTTGATTAATCTGTTGCTAACCATTAGTTTTAGATTTAGAAAATAAAAATATGGTAAATAAATATTATGATAGAATCTATAACATACATTTTCTTGCAGTTAAATCAAAAACCGTTTTACTTTCTTATACACAATACATACTTATAGAGGGTTGGGCTCCTTTTCTATATTTTAATTTTTTGTAGAAAGTACTGAAAGTGATTGGTTCCACAAAGGGGTCAATCCATACGTCGCAGAAGATTCTTTCATGTGATGGTGCTTTACTGCTAGTATACGAAATGTCGATGCTTCTTCTAAGGTTTTCGCTCGTCTGAATAATGCTCAAATTGGCACCTGAGGTCTTCCTCCATCAGTAAAGCTGGAAAGTCGTCACATAACATTGAAGTGTTGTTACTTAAAAAAACAAATCATCCGATTGTAATTGTTTTAATACACGCATTAAAGTTTGGTTTTAAACATGGAATTATTATAAAGAATTTTAGGAAAAAGTTCGGATTCGATCTACCAAGCGTTGATCATATTACCCAATTTAAACCGACTCGTTTACGATTTAACTTATTATTCTATCGTTTTTCTTGTCTGATAACTTGCTAAAAATTGCTGTTAAAATATTTTTAACATTTATGGTATTAAATATATAACATATCACCATAGTTTACATTACTAGACTATGCGCAATTATTATTTGCTTATTATTACTTGATTACGATTACTTATCGGCATTCATTTTTTTTCATTTACTTTCAAGTAGTTTTACTAAGCTGACTATTTCTTTAACTGTACAATTGAAACTCTTTTATCCAATGTGTATAATTAGACATTTAATAAAAAAAACAGTTTGACTTTGTAGATACACCACTTTCAAAATACCGCTTTGACCATATTTCAAAATGTCTGTCTCTCGAAGATAGCGTTGATGTCATTATTCATGCCTACCAGCTTAATTATTTATTTCGTGCTTGCCAAGTTGACTGGGTACGTTATGTTGGGGCTTAGTTTTGTAAATGTCGCGTTACCTTTTTCATTGAATACGTTAACTGCATGATGTCATAATAATAGCAAGGTGCTCCATTTTCTATTGAAATTTAACAGGGATTATTTTGGCTGCGCACTCCGTTGTTGTTTTTTACAACTAATCTTTGACTATAAACCAGTTGTGTATATTCACATATGTTGCATTTCCAGTTGCGAATTAACGGTTTCCCGGCATTATATCAAGATTAAATATTCAGTGAGTACAGAGGTGTAATAGAAAATAAGAAAGAATGTACAGGTATTCGACTAATTATTATTATTTTATAATGTGTGTACAACGTGAAATTAAAAGTGACGGTGTTTTTGTTGTAAATTTGGATAGTTTGGCAGGAATTAACTCCTAACTTTATCTTAAATGGCGAAAATCAATCATGATATTATGGTTTTATATCAAATTAAGCAAGTGTTCATGTATGTGGTGAATTATTTAAATTATGATACTGGACATTTAAATTTTAATGTATGATTTTTATTATTGCTAAGCGATTACATACACACATATCATTTATTGTTTATGTAAGTTTTGATGTTCCACATATAATACATTTTATTCTGTATGAAGTAATTGTATTTCACAAAATTTGACTTTTATCTATGTTTATAAATGGTGATACTTATGTGCAGTTGTTTGTAATGCATGATAAAATGAATTTGAATTACAATCGTTTACGACAATATTTACAAATTACTATCTGATGAATATATTCCAATAATTTTCTATGAATTATCCACTGTTCTGAAAAGATTTTTTATGCATTGAATGCCCAGTCCAGTATACTGTTTACAGCGACGTACATAAAGACATTAACGAGTTTGTTATATACACTTTTACAAGGTTGTCCTTGACCTTTACTCTGCTGGAACCGAATATTTTATTGTTTGCTGTTGGTAGCTCAAATTTATATTTTGGGAATAAAATGACTTAAACGTTTTAAAATTCAAAGCGGGTACAATTGTATTACACAAATCTGACAGGTTGGGGGTTGATAGTAAAGAAGGAATACTTGACCCGACCTACATATAAGAAACACATAATTGAATTCCTTAGTTAACTTTACTAACATATTTTTCTTTCAGTTTTAGATGTAGAGAAATACTTTTGATCATCTTACTACAAGTTTTTATCGTCTGCATATTTTTGAAGCCAACTATTTATTTCACATCAGTTGAATCAGCTGAATTTGTAAACAACACTAGTCGTATTGACAAATCACAAAGACGAAAGAAGATAAATCAACAATTCTCTGATACAGGCCAACTCGATACAAGAAAACATCAACATCATACAGATGAAAGACAAAAGGTGGACAGAATTTCATTCTTGAAAGTTCAAAAGAGCGGATCAAGCACAGTTGCGTGTATTTTCATCAGGTTTGGAATAAACAATAACCTATCCATGTTTTTGCCTAAGCAATCTTCAGTTTCCAAAAAGAAACAAGAACTACTTTTAAGAGATAAAAGGCATTATAATATTTTCATTATACATACGCATTATAATTATAATTTCTTTACTCATATTGTCCATAACCCTACAATTATTGGACTCATTCGGAGACCAGAAACGAGACTCATTAGCCATGCTTTCTTTTTCGGACTGGCCAAGAAGTTCGGTTTGAAAGGACTTAGTGAGCAAGATTTCATCAACGAAGTGGTGAGAAATACTTCAAAATATGGTGTTCAAAACAGAATGGGAACGTTTTTTGGTTTGGATGATCCAAGTATACCCGAACAGTATCTGCGACAGCAGCTGGTCAAACTAAATTCTGAGTTCACTTTGGTGCTTATTTTAGAGAGGCTTGACGAGTCTCTCGTTATTCTTAAGCGACTTCTTCGGTGGTCAATTTTCGACATAATTTATGCGGCAAAGAAGACAAAACATCATTATGGTGTCCATTTAAATGCGAGTCAAATAAAACATTTGGAGTTTACGAATAAAGTTGAATATGCTATATACAATTTCTTTTATGAAGAACTTGAAAGAAAAATTCAGACAACCGGGAATGATTTTCAGCGGGAAGTTGCACAGTTTAAGTATGTTCTAAATCAGACAAGAGAATTTTGCAACTTAACAAGAGAAAACCAGGAGCCCTTTTACACTTTTCCGGCATCGAAATGGGACGATAGTTTTACACTATCTAAAAAAGACTGTAAGATCATATTTAAAAAAGATGTTACCGGGCTTAAAAACCCGGGGTTTTTGACAGGGAAATTTTTCTTTTGCCTGCATTTTTTAAAGGGAAAACACACTTTTAAAAAAATATTTTAGTTTTATTATTGACCAAAAATTTTTTAGATTTTTTAGAATTACTTTCTTTTTGGGAAAAAAAATAAATTGCATGAAAAGATTTTAAACGCAGTATTATTAAAAATTAAAAGAGTATATAGGATTTGACCTTTTTAGGGGTAAGAATTTTTTTTATTATTAACGAATGTTTTCATTTCGTGCATGGGATATTCTGGGTAGACAAAATTTGGCCCAATTTAACCCACATACAATTTATCATATTTAAAAAGGCCCTTTAAAAAGGGCGTGATTTCAAAAATAATGTCAAACCAGAAAAACAGTAAATTTTGGGGTATTTTGGGGGCGTGAGTAAATTAAAAGTGGGAATTTTATTATTCGGGTATACGAAACTATTTAGGGAAATATAATAATTCAATGAAAGAAAGCGCATGTATAAAACTACCAACAACCCATCTTAATTTCTCAATATTTTGAATAATTATGTAAATATATTTATGTGACTTATATATTTTTTGTTTGGCATCAATCGGATAAAGGAAGAAATCAGGCAAACTGAAAACATAAAATGCAAAATCATGTGTTCTGACTTTTTTCAGAATGATAATTAACATCGCTTTCATATATTATTATTATTAAAATTTCTTAAGTTTTTATATGAACTATTTCAACAACAATTAAGTTGACCTCTTTATTTTCTAATAGATATATTTTCACAGTTTTTTTACAACAATGTAAATGTCAATGTCAGCTCCCTGATCGTAAGGGGGCATTCTTAAACAATCATCTATTCTATGCCTTTTTATTGAAAACTTGGCCACAAAGCTATAAATGCATCTTTCATGTTTTTTATTCAAAGCTATTTCATTAATTTTCTACTTTTTACCTTAAACTAACGCAATTTTACTATATTTCTATGAAGAGCGTTTCTCTTTTTGCCCTAAGCAGAATGCATGCGCGAGAAAATACTACTTCCGATCGTTTTTCATAGCAAGGGACCGCGTCGTAAAAAGGTTTATATGTAGTAACTTAAAATAATTTTAATGGGGAAAAAAGTAATTTTTAACCCGATGCCAAAAATTGTAAACCTTAGTACATTGCAAATTAAAAAGATAATTTTAAAAATTAAAAAATGATTTAAATGGGGTCAAAATCCATTTACGAGGGGTTTTTTTGTTTTATTTTTTTTGTTGGTTTTTTGGTTTTTTTGTATATTCTTTTCTTTAAATTTTAAAAAGCCCGACGATACTTTTTATTAATTTACCGGCATAATCTTTTGAAAAATATTTTTATTAAATTTCCGGGGTGTTTAAAAGTTTTTTGGTTTTAAACGTTTGGGTTTTCTGTGTTTTTAATTTAACCCCATTAAGGGGTTTTCGGTTTTAAAGGGGTTTGGGAACACCCGTTTAAATTTTTGTAAATTTTTAAACTTTTTAAACACTTGATTTTCCAATTTTTTAAAAATTTTTTTTTACGGGACCACCCCACAATTTAGGAATTTTGGGCCGGAAAGGGAAAAAAATATTTTTGGGGTAAATTTTGAAAAGTAAATCAACCACCCGTTTTAGGCAAAGATGCATAATTTCCAAAAAAATTTTTAAAACCCCCTTTAGTCTATTTTTCCTTTTGGTCACGGGGTGGATAAAAAGTTTTTGGGGTAACCTTTTAAAGGGGGCCCCTTTAAACCACTCGAGGGGGGGCGAACACGAACTAAATTAAAACATTTTAAACCCCTTTTTAACACTTATTTCGTGTTTTCAAAACTTTTTTTCGTTTTTTTAAAAAGTTAAGATGTCATTCAATTAAAAAACCAAAAATTTTAAAAATTTTTATACTTTTAAAACCAAATTTTAATACGAGATGGGGAACAACCCGGGCCCTAAAATTAAAAGAAAATAAAAATAAATTCAAAATAGAAAAAAACCCGTCATTTTCGCCGAAAACGGCCTAATTTTAAATATTTTATTGAGCGTTTATTTAAAATTGTGGGTATGGGCAAACCCCCTTCCCGCCCCCCAGCACCGCTGAAGTAAAATTCAACAATTATTTTTAAAATTTTAAAAAAATAAAAAAACTTTAAATTCCCGGGAAAGCAAATTTTTTTGATTTTTATATAAAATAAAAGGGGGCAATTACCCGGAAACGTCGAAAAAAAGAAAGGGTTTAAAAGGTTTTTTTGGGTGACGAAAGCTGTTTTTCTTTTTTTTTAAAAGGGGGCAGGGGGCTGGGACCATCCCCCGTTTTTGGGGCAAAGCATGTATAGACAGTAATTTAAAAACGCGCCGGGAGTTTGGGATCATCAAAAAATAACCCAAAAATATCGCAATTTCCCCGTGGGAAAACATATCACCCAACAACTTTCCTTTTAAAAAATACAGTTAAAAAAACACGGGGAAATTTCCGGGTTTAACATTTAAATTTTTATGCAAAAAAAAGAAAAACCTTTTTTATCAAAACCCCCGGGCTTAATAAAACCTCGCCCATTTCCCCTTTGGGGGGGGACAAAAAACCCCTATTTGCATTTTAATATAAAACGAGTTAAACCAAAATTTTTGTTGGGGTTTTTTTTTTTTTTTTCTTTTTTTTGTTTGTTTTAAACATTTACGCCGTAAAAAGAAAAGGAAAAAGGAGACCGGCAATATACATTTTATTTCGTTTGAATAAAAAATTTAAAGCTTTCAAAACCAAATTTTTTTTAAAAAATTTTTAAAACCAACTGTTAATCAGGGACTTTTTAGGGAAGTATTTTTGGGAAATTAATCGCCTAAAACCTTTGGGAAACCCCACCGCATACTTTTAACTGTCACAAGGTAACCAATCTGGAGATTACAAATGGAATTTAAAAACGAAAAAATACGAACAAATGACACGGGGAAAAAATAGGAAAAAGACAACAAAGGGAACAATTAAAGGGGGGGTCAAATTAAGGTTTTCACTTAAAAAAAAGAAAGAAAAAAAAACAAAAAAAAGTGAGTAAGAACGTTAAAACCGGGGTCCCTTTAAAAAAATAACTTTTAAAAGGGAAAAACCAAACGATATGCTTTTGGGACGACCTTTTTAAAATTTTCTAAACACCACAACCTGAAAAAGAACAATGCCGAAGCCCGTTTAAATTTTTCCCCCATAATAAACATTTTTTCGGTTTGGGGAAACCTTTTAAATTACCTAAAGGGGAATATTTTTTAAAATTTTGGAAAAGCCCGCCCTTTTACCAACTTTTTTGAAAATAATAAAACAATTTAAATAAAAAAAGGGAAAAAAAAAGGGAAGTTTTTTCGAAAATCCACATATAATGGGCTGATAAAAGGGGTAATGGCACGGGGTTAAAAAAGAAAAACCGGGAAAAATTTTTATTTTACTTTTTAAACAACCAATAAATTTTCGGGAAATCAATTTAAGGGAAAAAATGAAAATAGGGCCCCAAAAATGTTTTTTGTTTTGCAACATTTTTTTTTCTTTAAAATTTTTTAGCTGACAAAAACTGAATCCTTTCTATACGAAGGTTTTGGGGGCAATCAAAGGGGGAAAAACCCGGGGTCGTAAAGGGAACTTCCCTTAAAGACACCGGTTTAAACCAACCGATCTTTTTTTAATGAACTTTTTAAAGGCCCAAAAAAAAACAGTAACGAATTTAAATTTACCATTCACAATTTTGGGGGAGAAATTACTTTTATTGAAAAAATTTTTATGCTGCAACAAGAAGATAGAATAAAACGGATGTTTAAAAAAAGATTTTTTTTTATGATTTATTCCTTTAATTTTTTTCAGGGGAAAAGGGGGGGAGGGTTTTAAACACTATAAAAAAGAAGGGGGAAATTTTTTTTTACCAAAAACTCAAAAATTGGGAAAGAACTCGTAAATTTTCACTATTTAAAAAAACTGAAAATAATAACGACTTTATTATCCTTTTCTAGACATTAAGAATAGTTTTCAACAGAGGGTCAAATAGATTTTTTTACATAGGGTAGTTTTATTTTTATTTAATTTTTTTTTTTAAGTTTCCGCCCCCAACACTTTTAATTATTATTACTTTAATAATAAAATTTTTATGGGGACATACAAACTAAATGCTTTTGTACTTTCAAAATAACCCTTATTGTATCTTTAAAACTCAAAAAACAGGGCTTACATGTAGTAAAATAGGTAAATGAGGGGAATTTTTATTATATTTGTAACCTATTTGTTTACTACTTCATTGGCTCAAGTAAATTCGTTTACTCTTCCTCTTTCACATTGTTATTGTTTTTGTTGGGTTTTTTTGCTGTATTTTTTTTCTGTTTTGTTTTGTTTGATAATGTAAGGTGTTGATCGTTGAACAAAAACAATCTTAACCTTTACCGTTCTTGTACAAAATGTGATAATCCTTTACCGACCAGGTTCATAACTATCGTCGCTTTATTTTTGCAGTTTGGTATATCAAACTTTGAACTTTTGTATACTTTATTTAAAGTGTTCCTTATCAATTAATCGAATTAAACAGGTTGAGGGTGTAGCCAGTCCGTTTTAAGCAAAGGAAAATATTTGATTTCTAAATAATTGGTTAAGAATTCATCGGCTGTCTTTATCACAATTTCATTTCTGTTACTTATCAAATATTTAAGAACCATTCACTTTTATGATAATCGTATTAAAGGGAGAAAATTCATCTGTTCACATATCAGCAAAGGTAAAAACCCTACAATTCCTTCAGATTTTAATCTTTCTTGCAGACCACCAAATGAAACCGTCTTATTTGACTTTTTAAAACAGTTTGGCAGAAAATCAAGAAATGCCATATGTGTTGCCGCTGATTCAGAAGTGTTGAAACAAAGGAAACCTCATATCATTAACCAAACAATTGTTCATGTAGAAAGATTAGGGACATTTAAAAGCACAAAAATAAGAAGCTTATGATGGTTTTTATATAACAATTTTCGAGCAGTGTATTCTATCATTATGTGATAAGCTAATCCAGTTGGCACATTAGCAGTTTACATGAGAGGAGTGTCTGACAATCTGTTCTTGTATCGTCCAAAACTGAAACGAATCGTTGAAACTTACCTTGTAAACATAAAAACGGTTTATGACTTTCTATGACGTCATCAATCATTCTATTCTATTCCAAGATATGGCCTTATTTTACGCTTTTTAGAGAATTATTGTATAAAATCAAAATTTCATTTGATATAATTAAAATATACTGTCACCATTGCCTAAAAAGAGACTTCTTACTTGAAATATATTCAATGTAGTACCTCATATTAATTTACATTTACGTGACAATTCCCATTTTCTAAGATATTTATGTAACAAAACACAGAGAAATTGATTGCTTATAAAACACACAATCAGATACATGAAGATAAAACTTACTTAATTAGTTTGGTTGGTTCATTTAGTCAGTTAGTTCTTATTCAAGGACATAGACCCTGTACCATGCCTTAAATTGAATGATAAGAAATCCTCACACATGTATATGCAAATTGCTTTTAAACCATTCTGGAATATTCGTTTATCCTCCAAGCAATAACTGTAACGCATTGAGTAATCTATGAAACAAAGTAAAGCTAAATGCTAGAGAAGAAAAGATAACCCAACGTAATACATCCTTTCAAAACATTCCATGTTGTCTTAGAAGTTTGCTGATCTTTCCTTGAACTTACATACATATCTGACATTAATTTCTGTATAACAATCCTAAATGAGTTATATCTATATATTTTTTGAATAGGCGTGGGTTTAAAAAATATCACATCACCGTCTGCTACATTTGAATGTTCATCTTCTTTCATAACTTTAATGAGATACAAACTCTGACAACTTAGTGATGAATTTAATTCTTTGGCTGAGAGGTATACAGGATAAACAATTCACTTTTAAACGAGAAGTCCTAAGTTCGAATCCCAGCCACAACGGAATATTTTCAAATGCATTTTCGTCTTTCTATTACGAACTATAAATGTTCGTGAGACTACCAAACACAATTTTAGAATAAATACCACTGCTTTTAAAATGGGTGTTATCAAATAAGGAATTCTTTTTTCTAGCACTTATGTACAAAAAAAAATTCTATGTGGACATCAAACCTTTTTTTACTTGAATCGTCCTCTAATGGTGTAGTTAGTCTAAGAAACAATCGAAGTCGTTGAAAAATAAACGTATTAAATAAAATTTTGTAGGGAATTGCACGACGCGTTTCTAGTAGCAGTTACACTTTAATTAAATGATTTAAAAGATATACTATGGCTCAAATTGGATATATATATACAAGGAACGTGTTTGTTAAACACAAAATGCCCCGGCTCCGATTCTTGTCAGTAGCAATATTTCAAAAAATGTTTACCCATTCACTCAGTTATGGAAAGAAACATTGCCAAAAATTTGTAAACACAAGTTTATTAGCTTGACAGAGTTCATGGCATTTTGTAATTTTGAAAATATATAAGTTGCCAATCATTGCTATGACTTGTGAAGTGATAAATATTCAACTTTATCAAAAACATATATAATTGTAAGAAATCTATACTTGGCACCTTTCCCTTGAAACCACTGACACCTGGGCAAAAATGTTAAAATCTATTTTGAGCATTGATGACCTTTGATCAAACTGACCCCTAACTCCATCCAAAAGAAGAAATACCATGCAAGTTATCTTCCAACCAAATATGAAATAAATCTGTCAATAAATAAAGGCTGTATGGGCAAAAAAGTGTAAAAGTCTATTTTTAGCACTTGTGACCTTGACCCAACTGACCCCTAACTCCATCCAAAGTAAGAATAACATGCAAGTTATCTTCCTACCAAATATGAAATATATCTGTCAATAAATAAAGGCTGTATGGGCAGAAGTGTAAAAATCTATATTCAGCACTAGTGACCTTGACACACTGATCCCTAACTCAATCAAAGGAAGAATACCATGCAAGTTATCTTCCTATCAAATATGAAATTACACCTGTCAATAAATAAAGGCTGTATGGGCAAAAGTGTAAAAATCTATTTTTTAGCACTGGTGACCTTGACCCAACTGACCACTTACTCAATCAAATTTTATGTTTCTATCAAAATTATAAATGACATCTGTCTATACACCTGTTAATACACCTGTAAAAAATGTAAAAATCTATTTTTTAACATTGGTGACCTTGACATTGTGACATTGACCTTAACCCAAACGACCCCTTACTATACCCAAAGAAGGAGGACCTCCCTTGGCATGTTTGTATTAAACATGAAAGACATCAACCAAAAAATAAAGGCTGTATGAGCAAAAATGTTTAAATTTATTATCTAAACCAGTGACCTTGACCTTGACCCTAGATACCACTTACTCCACAAAAAATTAGAGGACCCATTAAAGGTATCCACCTACCAAATATGCAAGATATCATTAAATAAATTAAGCAATTAAGAGAAATCCAACTTGCTGGAATAGGTTAACCAGACCAGGCCCTATTTTTAAAGTGAAAAAAAGGAAATAACTGGGAAATATGGATGACACAGTTATATAACTTGGCAATATCATGTACTTTGTATTGAGAAGTAAGTGTGGAAATTATGAAGCCATTAGTATAGATAGAACTTAAGATATTTCCAACTTGAGTTTTAGGTTAACCATTATTCATTTTCTAAGTGCTGAAAAGGGCAATAACTTTGTAAATATGGAAGTCATAGTTATGTTTATTGACCAGATCATGTACTTTGTATTGATTAGTAAGTGTGTAAACTAAGAAGCCATTGGTACAGGTAGAACTTAAGAAAAATCCAACTTGCCGTTCTAGATTAACCTCGTACAGAAAGACGGACGGACGGGATGTTCTTACCAGAGCTACATTAATGGGTTTTCTTTTGTTATTTTCTTTGTTCTTTTTAACCCCACAATGCAGCAAAAAATAACCCCACAAGAGAAACGGAATGAATGACATCAAAGACATCTATTGTTATGAAGAACAATTAGACCAAACCCCATAATGTAGCTCTGGTTTGTACGGACAGACGGACGGACGGTTCAATTACTATATGCCCGGGGGCATAAAAAATATTGATAATTGCTTCACAGTCTCTTTGTAAATATAAAATAAACATGTTTTGACTTCACACGAAGTAGATATGTTTTTTTTAAAATTCTACACACTACAGGTGGTCACAATATGAATATATAGTGTCTATAAATAGCTTGAAGTTTTTTTTAAAGAAAATACCAATAGAGAACTGAGCTTCTCACATTATTTTATTCAAATTAGACATATAATTAAGAATTTCATAGATTTCAATAACATTCTATGATTAAACTATTTTAAAGGGCGTGTTGGGCGGGGGTTTTTTAAGGGCGTTGATTCAAACCCCAAATTGCTCCTCGCCGCGGGGGCCCCAATCCCGGGGAGCTATCAAGCTAGATTAGGAAAGTCGGTGGTTCTTTTCAAAATCCCCTTCGTTTCCTGGGAAAAAAAATGAAAAGGGCCCCCTGAGGTCTTCTTTCCCAAACCAAATTAAACCCTTTAATGTTTTCCAAAGACCAATACCGTGCGGGTGAGGTAAAACACAAAGGAAAAAAAAAAAAGTATTTTACTCAAAGGGTGAAACATAGGAAAATTTAAAAAAACCAAAAAAAATTTTTAATATTATTAATATGCACTATTTAATTAAGCTTCCGGCTATACTCGGTCCTTGTTAAATAGAATAGTGATGTCTGTTGATAAAACAGTTTACAAATTGCGGTGTCTGTCAACAAAAGTAAGGAAACTAAACTGACGAGTACCTTACCGGTGCTTCATTTAGACTGGGTTTTGCTTTCCTTCCTTATCTTTACATCCGATTTGTAAAAAGGTTGTTATTTTATATTTGAATAAAGTAACATATTACAGCAAATAAAAGAACAAATGATTTACTGCAAATAAACAACGCTTCATCAGAGTAACTTCGTAATAACATCCATCTTATAAATCTGTTTTATGAATTATAACAATCGTACTCCAATCGTGACATCAATTTCTTTAAACGTCTCTTGAATCAATCAGTCTGAGAGATGTTTACAAAATTGCATGACTCGTTCTTTTATATATATATGTGTGTGTGACGTAAAACACAAACAGACAAACAAATGTTTTTATTTATTTTTTTTTAAGCTCAACAACACAATTTTTTTCTCTAAAGAAGAAAGTTCGCTGTATAATAAATTCGTCACAAAGAATTTGTGTTAAGTTTATACGTGGCACCTACACATTTTATATTATTTATATGCACTATTTAATTACGCTTTCTCATTTTCCATATGAGATTTCTGATAGCCAGCGGCGATTATTTATTATTATTGCATCAATGCGACACCAAGTTCCTTTGCAACTGATGAGCTGATAAACGAACATTTTGCACATGCTCTGTTAGATTAAGGTCGGGTGATCGAGCGGGTCAGCAAATGTATAATACTGAACATCAACATAAAGGGGCCTTCAGCTTTTCTAAAGGTAAGATATGTTATTTTTTATTTATTATTTTTTATTATTTTTTTTTTTGTAAACATTCCGTCGACTTGAAGTAAAAATATATTTTATTCTAAGAAATCGTTAGAATATCAAAAATAATGTAGCACACCAAAGATTGTCTTTAAAACTTGAAATATTTTTTTAAAAAAACGTTTAAAGTTTTACTGCCTAGTTTAATCCAGAAAACAGGATAAAGATTTTTCTCCTAAAGTCTCCCACTCGGACTCCCAAACAAAATTTACCCCTTTTTTAGGGTAAAACTTTAAACGTTTTTTTTTAAAAATAAAAAAAAAATAAAATTAAATTAAATTTTAAAAGGGGAAAATACAGGGGTTTTTTTTCACAAAAAACCCCCATCTTCCCAAACCCTGAAAATTTCTACGAAAAGATTCGTGGTGACTTTCAAATTTTTTTAATTTTTGGCTTCTTAAC